CGACCTCCGTGATAGTCGACTCCTAAAAACTGGGCCCTTGTGTGCATCTAGAGCATCCTCAATGTAAGGCATAGGGACGGCTCTAACGTACTCATGCAGAAGAGTCCTAATGCAAAATTATATATTATTTATTTTATTAAAGTTTTATAAATCCCAACATAAACTTGAGGCCATGTCGGCACTCCACATACACAGGGTCGGCCTGCTAATAAATAAAAGAATTCTGATTATGGATATTTAAATGTTTCTAATAAGAATACTTGCATCGATGTCTAAGAAACTTGGAGTATATCCATGATTTTAATTACCACCATAGATGTGATAGATTGAGAATCACTAATGTGAGTTTTGTTGACGATATACTTTTATTCTCCAAAGGGGATAAAATATTTGTCCAACTCCTAATGACAGAGCTTACTAATTTTTCAAGGGCAACTGGTTTGATAGCTCACTCAACCAAATGTCAGATGTACTTTGGAGGGGTTTCCTATAACGTCGGGATGAATATTATGAATGTTACTGGCTTTTAGGAAGGGGCGCTGCCGTTTAAATATCTCGGTGTTCCGTTGGACAGCAAGAAGCCGAGGATCCATCATTTCAGACCTCTAATTGACAAAACGTTGGCTAGAATTAGGCATTGGACAACATGTTTGTTGAGTTTTGCAGGAATATGACAGTTAATCCAAAGTGTCTTGATGGCCATTTCCTCCTACCGGATGCAGATTTTTTACTTTCCAAAGAAAATGATTCACCATATTGAAAATTTTTGTCGTACTTATCTTTGGAGTGGCACAAATGGTATCCGTAAGAAAGCTCCAATAGCTTGGGAAAATGCCTGCCTCCCAATAACGGTTGGGGGCTTAAATGGTATATCCTTACAGGTCTGCAATAAAGCTTTGATACGAAAATTATTGTGGAATATTCATAACAAGGAAGATAAGTTATGGATCAGGTGGTTGGAAATCAATTTTTTCAAAAACCGTGACATTTTGTGGTGGCAGCCTAACACAAATTGTTCATGGATTGTCAACAAATTTTTAAGCTTTCGTAATGAGATGACAAACACTGATTGTTGACAGACTGCAAAGAAGTTTGAGAGCTATAAAACTAATGTAATATATAAAGAATTTATAAGAAATATGACTCATGTGCCATGGAAAGGTATGAGAAAAATTATACTCGTCCTCGAGCCAATTTCATTATTTGAATGACACTAAAAGGGAGACTCTCCACTAGGAACAAATTAGTTCGATCTGGCATCACTAGGGATACGAACTGTTGTTTTTGTGAGAAGGATGAATCCATTAAACACCTTTTTTTTTTTGCTTGTGAGATTACAGGCAAAATCTAGAAAGATGTTCTAGTTTGGCTTCAAGTCAATCACATTCCTTTGAGTTGGCAAGAAGAAAGTGACTAGATTGTTAAAGAGAGAAATAAGAAAGATTGGAAAAGGAAAACTTTAAAGATGGCTATCCCTGAGACAATATACGACATTTGGATAGGGAGCAATCTCGTGATCTTCTCCAAAAAGAATATGGACCCCAACATAGTAAGAAAAATTATTGATATAGTCAAAAATAGAAGTAGTTTAAAGAGAGAGTTTTATTTGCACATAAATGCTCATAACTAGTTTATTTGGTTTGTTTTGTTTCCGGGATCCTGTAGGATTGGGTGTATTACCTGTTTTTGGATTTCAATAAAATAATGCTTGTTCTAAAAAAAATGTATATTATTTCTAATATATTCATAATTAATTTAATTTTTTCGACTATCTATGATAATTATTCTAATATGCATTGATTAACTTTCCTTGATCGTTAAACTCGTAAAAGTAGTAACAACTTTTGACAAATTTAAAATTTCACAATCAACTTTCTTACTTTTCATAATTTACACAAAAGAGAGTCTTAATTTTTATGAAAAAGAGAGTCCTAATAAATGCCGGCTATGTCTTGCAAAATCCCTCCTAGTATCACTCGTGTAATTAAAGCTATTGTTTAGTCCAGTTTTAAAATTTGAACCCAAAATACAATCCGACCAGATTACACAAACAGATTAATAACATATTTGGATTGACTTTTAAGGACTCAGATTCACTTTGAGTTAATTCTGAATGATTTTGGTATGTCTGTTTTATTAAATGTAGAATTAATTTTATCTCCAGAATTGATTTTCTTGAAACTAGAATTTATAGTTTTTGCCTTCAATTTTGTTAAATTCACTTTTGTAAAAATCAATTCTACCAAATTTAATTATGATATAATCAATTCATTAATTCTATTCACCGCCAATCAAAACACCCCCTAAACATATCCAATAGAATTTTTCATTTTTTGAATAGGTTTGCAATTTTAATCTAGATGAGTTTGAATTCGAACGTCCACACAGACAACACATGATAAGGTTTGCAATTTTAATTTAAATCATTTTGAATTAGAATACCCCTAGACAACACATGATAAAACGATCAACAAACTGAACTAAACACCAATATTTTTTTCTACAGGGATTCTAAAATACTAAACCAGACATATTTAGCATTAAGCCAATAAAAGCCACATGTGTAGTATCAACAAAGAGGTGAAAAATCGTCAGATGAAAAAATCTCCTTGCTTACTCCCAAGGTCACCAATAATACAGTTTAACATAATACTGAACACAAAGGAGTGCTTTAAAATGTAACAAAAAATACTGAAACACAACATTATTCCCAATGCCTTACTTGTTGAATAGATTCAAATTCAATGTCAAATTACCAGTACCAAACATACCCTATGTTTGAAATTTTAAAAATAGATTAATCGGACTTGTTTGTTCACTTCTCAATTCATATATACTATAAAGGCTCTCTGGATTATTCTACTTTCTAGTCTCCCCAATTAATCATCCTAAAATAATGTTAAGTAAAGCACACAGCATTCTAACTATTGTGTTCTCAATGAGTCGGTGTACTGAAGTACAACCAGTGTTGTCCATGGCAAAGAGCCAAAAACCCGCCATACCGAACACTTTGTGGTGCCGCTATAGCGGACTATGGCAGAAAAATCTGCAATATCAGCCAATATTTACCAATGCAGCGAGCCCAACTACCACCATGTATATATCTGCCATAGCGCTGCAATTGCAGATATTTGATAACACAGTACAACAATATAAATACCCTGAAGACCATGATCGCCATTTGAATGAGTTTCAACACTACCCACACACATGTATGTAATGCACACATCATTCTAACTATTGTATATATCTCAATGACTGTGTTCTGAAGTACACCAATATAAATACTCGGAGAACCAACACATAAGCACTTCTTCTGCCATCTACAAATTACTCTATGGTACTGAATTCAAATTGATCATAAAAGAAAATCCAGCACCAGAATTTTGAAACTAATATATAGCAGTAGTAGAGCAAGGTAACCTAATAAAGAGGAATACAAGACTTGTACTCCGTAAACGCATACTACTACTACTGACATTAACATTTAAAATGTGCCAGCCTTAAAAGTGGCTATAGAATCAACTCAAAAAGATCTGCCCATATTCCATGTATGATTAGCCGCTTGCAAAATTTCAACAATATGATTGTAAATTTAACAAGATAATGTAGGCAGTGTTGTCGATGGCGGATGGCGGCCCATGGCGGAGAGTCAAAATCCCTCCATACCAGCCACTCTGTGGCACCGGTATAGTGGATTATGGCGGAAAAAACTGCAATATCAGCCGATACTTACCATTGCAACGAGCCCAAAAACCGCCTGTATATCTGCCATAGTGCAGCCATGGCGGATATTTGAAAACACTGAATGTAGGTCGAAGGTTCTCTCAGTATGAAATCCTATAATGATCTTGAATTCTCAACCTAAAGATGTTTGCAAAATTTCAACAATATGATTGTAAATGTAACAAGATAATGTAGGTTGAAGGTTCTCTCCGTATGAAACCCAATTATAACGATAACGCTCAGCCAAATCCTTTCCATGCTCCATAACCATCGACACAAAAAATCACAGCAGAATCAGCAGATTTTTGGTTCACAGTTCACACAAGGTTGTAAAGATTACAATGTTGAAAATAGTCAGACCCTAGGTTAACTTTAACACCATGAACTACTCTAAAGCCATAAAAAACAATCTAAATAAGTAAATCCACAGTAAAAACACAGCAATAAATTCGAGCTTTATTTCAAGTATCCCTCCAACCACGCATCATTCATCTGAAGCAATATAAAGATTAAAGAGTTATTTTGGTTGGTAAAATGTTCAGTAATTACAAAAACATCTTCAAATGTGTCTTTTGTAAGTAATGTTATGAGCAAATTGACTAACAAGACATTCCAGAACCAAACTAACCATATAAAGATATATCTGAGTACCATACAGACGAACGAAAAACACTAGTCCTAAAATGTTTTGAAATTACAAAAACAACTTCAAGTGTGTCTTTTGTAAGTAATTTTATGGACAAATAGACTAACAAAAGACATTCCAGAACAAAACTAACTAAGGAAAGACACATTTAGGTATCTCTGCATAATTTTGGCCTGTTCCGAGACTATTATCACCTATGAAGCACAGGAAACACGAAACCGACTGTGACACATTGATTCCGATAATAATTTGAAAAAATGAAGTGTTGGTTTCGGACACCTTTTCAGAGGGGTCGGTGCTACATAGCTATTATCACAACATCTCACACATTTAAAAACCAAAGTGACAGAATAAAAACTACAAAATAAATAAATAAATAAATGAAACCAGAAATAAACACTGGAATGCTTTATTAACATTCAAACAAAAAAGATCATTAACAAATAATAACAAGCGAGTCAACAATCACTTTTTAACAAGCATGTGATGTGCAGAAATTAGAGAAAAACTAAACAGTAATCAACCAAGCATCAAAAAGAAATCAAAATTCCAGTTATACCCTTATTATAACAACACCAAACCTCGATTTTTCGTCTTTAACCTAACCGCTTCCGATCCGAATCTATCTCTAATCAGACGATTCGTTCTCGGCCATGGCATCTTCGATCTTGAGACGTTCTAGGGCTTTTTCATGGGCCCACGTTTCAATGGTCAAATCAGGCTTGGCGTTAAGGCCAACACCGAGGATCACGATGGTGAGGAAGCTAGTGATGTAGCAAGGGAGTTCCCAATCTTCCCATTTGCGAGACTCGCCTGGAGCAAGAGGGGTTCTGTTGAAGAGGTAGCCCTTGGGTCGTTCTTCGTGGCCTGGGCTGGTCCAGCGGCTTGCGCCGGTACCGGAGCCGCCGCGGAGACGGAGGGAGGAGAGGAGACGCTGACGGAGCATGGTGGAGGCGATTGGGGTGTGTGTTGGATCCCTCTGTGTTAGGAGAGAAAGAGAGAGACTGAGACTGAGACCTGGTGCAACAGAAACAATAGAAATTGGATGAATAAGAATGTTTGGGCTTATGGGCCCTTTAAAGGTGTTGGGCCTTCATTTTTTTTGTTTGTCACCTCAAAGTTGTTCTTGGGCCCCTTAAAATGGAAAGAAAAGGCTATAATAACCTTGTTTAAAGTTTTTAGTAAAATTTTTTAATTTTTTTTGGATAATATCGGAAATTTCATATATATATTGAAAAATTTCTCATGAAAAGGATATAATAACCTTGTTAAAGTTTCCACCAAATTTTTGAAGTCTCTCTAGCGATATTGAAAATTTCAAACACATATAAAAAAATTAAACTGCTTCTAAGTGAGTTTGAACTGGACCAATTACTCACAATATGCATGTCTTTCCACTAGACCACTTATATTCTTTATTTATTAATTATAATACATTTATATATAATGGATATTAACTTCAAATATTTATTATAATAGTAGTAAATTGTCTTTTATATAGTAAAATTAAGTTTTGTTTAAAATTCTAAATAGTAATGTTAAATATAATTAAATAATACTCAAAATATTTTGTGTTTAAATTTTATACATAAATTTTTTTTAAACATTTAAACATAATTTTAAAATGTGATTGGAAACTTCAACTATTAATAGTTGAAAAATTCAAATATTAATAGTTTATATATTAAATAGTTAAAATATTTAATAAATTAAATAGTTAAAATATTAATAATTGAAACTCAGAATTAGAAACCTAAACAAAAAAAATACAGTAATAGAAATTAAGAATTAGAGATTTAAACAAAAAAAAAATATATATATATATATATATATATATAGTAAAGATGACAAAACTGGTAGTGGTCTGTCGGGTCAATATGTGCATCCGTCATAAAATAGCGGGTTGGGTTGAGATTTTAGACCCGCTGTTCACTAAAGCCCGCTCCATTAAAGACCGTCACCCGCCAAAGTCTGTCATGTCAAAATATACCGTTAGTCAAAGTCCACCGCACCTATTTGTTTAGCTTGTCCCACCTTAATTTTACTCTTTTTTAGTTAATTCTAATAATTATAATTCTTGATGATTTTATTTTATATATTAATTTGTGAATATATGTAATATTTTTAGAAGTAAAATTTGTTCAAAGATGTTTTATAAAAATTGCTCTAAAATAAAAATGAAAAATCTAATTGAAATGTAAAAAAAAATCTATTAATCTATTAAAAAAATAAAAATAATAAAATAAAAATGTAAGCTGGCAACTCCGTCAATCCGCCACTTTAGTAGGACGAGTTAGATATTTATGTCCATTTCCACTTGACGGACTTAAGAAAAGAGTGGGGCAGGCCAGACAAGTTGTTTTGCCGCCCTTTATATTTAAGGACTAAAACAAAAAACACATCAATTAATTAGAGACTTAAAGCAAATATTATATATTTTTTATTTTAGATATTGTTTACATATGATAAATCAATATTTAGAGTATTTTTCCTAAAAATTTTGTTATGATTTTGTTTGTAATATAGTAGCATACATTTTGAGAGATATTATTGGAAAAGAGAGAAAGAAAAAAGGTAAATGGCCATAATGGATTTTAAATGAACTTTGAAATCATTTCAAAAATTAACTTTTTTAACTTATAACACATATAATAAAAATTAGAGGTGATAAAATGGGTCGTCTGTCTCGCTTTATTTCACCCAGCTAAAAAAAGATACTACGCCAAACAAGACTTTAGACAGTGTTTTTTTTGCATTAGACAGCACTTTAAAGTGTTGTCTATTCCAGTGCTGCTGTAGGAAAAGACAGCGCTTTGTTAAAAGTAAAAGCGCTGGCTAAAGGGGGCCTTTAGCAGCGCTTTTACCTTTAAAGCACTGGCTAAATGGGGCCTTTAGCAGCATTTTTACTTTTAAAGCGCTGCTAAAGGCCCCCTTTAGCCAGCGCTTTAAAGGTAAAAGCGCTACTAAAGGCCCCCTTTAGTCAGCGCTTTTTCTGAAACAAAAAAAAATTTAAAAAAAATCCCCTTTAGGCAGCGCTTTTACAGTAAAAGCGCTGTTTAATGGGGGCTTTAGACAGCGTTTTTTAAAGCGCTGTCTAATATCAACTAAATTTTTTATATAATCTTTTTGAAAAAAAAGTGTTGTTTGATATATATAATTTTATATGCACAAATTTTAACCATATTTGCACCAGGTTTTCACCATATTTTGCACCTGTATATACTATTATAAATTTCACCAAATTTTCACTAATATTGGAGCTTTAATCCAATAAAAATAATACCAAACGATACTATGATACTTTTACAAATTATATATTACCCTAAACCATTACAAATTACTATGATACTATGATACAAATACATACCAAAGATACTATGATACATGTATATACCATTACAAATTACAAATTTTGCACCTGTATATACTTTTATAAAAAAACAACACCAAAACAACATCATTATATATCATTACAAAATCTACTCATTTATATCTTCTACATATGCACATATAACATGAAACAACACCAAAATATCGTAATTCATACCATGATACAAACAAAATATATATAATTTACCACATGACAAACAACAACAAAATTCTCATCAATTAAAGTAAGATTACAATATACCTTATATAACATTCATCTCAATAATGTATTGACATCAATCCTCCTTAAGTTCATCCAACTAAGAACTTGAGTAATAAGCACACTTGAATTCATCAAAGTACTACATAATAATATAACATAGTATGTTTAAGTTAAAACTATTTAATTATATGAGCAATATGTGTTAAATATTAAAATAACTCCTAAGTTAGAAATCCATACCTTAGATGGAATCTCTATTCGGTCCAAAAGGAGGATTTCTCTCATAAACCTCAACATGTAAAAACCGCAATCTACTTCATTATGTTGCCGAGGACACTACACATGAAAAGAAAATATGGATGAGGCCTAAGTTTTATCAAGTATAATCACTATTAATATAATCAAAATTGTGATAATTAATTAATATACCTCCACTATAATCCATGTAATGTTGTTGGATTTACTCTTTGGTACTTGAACACCTCTTTGTGCTAAAAAAAACTTGTATAATGCTAATAAAACATAAACGCATATTTAGAATAATTCACATAAATAAATAAATAAATAAATAAATAAATAAATAAATAAATAAATATACACACGAATATTTAGAGCAATCTCACTTACGTATCAACTATATTCTTCATATCTTGGTATGTACTTGGATCATTGCGTAAAGAATCCAGATAATATACAACTTCTCTGATAGGATTAATCGCGACCAACAACCAATGTCCACTTTAAGATTAAACAAATGTGACATGAAAACTTTCTACACAATGTTAAAATATGAAAAATTATAATAGATGAATTTAGAATGAAAATTTAACCCGTTGCCGGTATTAAGCGGTAAAAAGAACAACTTTTCGGTATCTTTGTCGGCCATAAAGAGCTCGAGTACATACGCCATGACTTCATATGGTTTATGAATGATTAACCCTAAGTTGGTACTGAAAGGAGATAAGAAAGTGAATCTTTGCTCCATTCCACTCGGGCGCATCAATTTTTCATGCAAAAACCTTAAGTAAAAGACCTCATTAACATTTTAAATGAGTAAATGAATTGATCAATTAATTAGACAAAGTAGATCGGATATACCTTATATATGTATTAACAACACCGAGGCCTAATAGCGTATGTTGTAAAACTTGATCAAAATCCTCCATACCAATTCTTTCGGAATATTCAAAACCAAAAATACCAAACTCTATAGGTAGAAGACGAGTATTTCCTTCGGGAATATCAGACATTTCTAAAAATGTTCCAAGGCACGACCTAAACTTGGAAGTAGTTTTTTTTTTAGCCGCGGTCTTCTTAGCAACAACCTTTTTTTGTGTGGAAATGTTGTTAATTTCAGGATTCTTACCCCTACCGACATCTTCATTCTCTTTAGCATGAATCTAAAGATCATATAATTAGTATGTGAAGTATAAGATCACGAATTAACATTTAATTATTTACATGCATAAATATCATATAATTGTGATGTACCTCTTTTATTGATGCCACTGACTCGGTTTATCGCTGAATCCCCTTGTCTTTTTCTTTGGATTTTGTTGGAATCTAATTAACATAACCATGTAAAAACAAATGTATGTAAAATGCGCGTACAAACTTTGATTACCCAAAGTTCATATATATGGTTTTAAGCATACCTCATTATCTACACTAATGAAGCTTGATGGCCATGCAACAAACGAACCGATTGCATCTCCCACAAGTGTAGCATCTGAAACATCATCAGGATGTGGTAATAACACATCCTTCTCCAAAGCAATGTCAACTGATACTTTCAAACAGCCAGTAGGGATTTTGGAGTGATTCCAAATCCCTTACCCCTCTATGCTCGACTAAGTATTCTCCTACAATCATTGTCTTCATCTGGACATATAGACTGAGATAGAGTCTCCTGAAATTTATATTAATATTGAAAATTTGTCTTAATTATATGTTACTAAAATTTTGATTTAATTAAAGAAATAATGCTATAGTTACACATTTCTCAAAAACTTTTTGAACATCTTCTTTGACAACTCCATCCTTACCCACACGGGCTTCCTTCCGCAAAACATGTGTCAGAAGAGATGTTTCAGAACTATTCTCCTTTGTTAACTACACATAAAGCCAAATAATATGATCAAATATAATTCATAATGAACAAGTATATCATTGCAATTTATAGATACTTACGATAGACTATTCTAAGCGTACATATCCAATACTCCATTTTCTCTATGGATACGCGGGACTTAATGGTCTTTGCTGATTTGTTTCACTTGCACTCTGAAATTCTTGGGTTTTTCGTTTAGCTTTAAACGTTTCCCATTCTTTAGGTGAAACCAAATTTTCATATT